AAGAAAAAGAAGGGAAGGAAGAGAAAGGAAAGGGAGGGAGGGGAATATGTATGAGGGAAGGATGACAAAGGGGAGGGGAAAAGGTATAAGGGGAGGGAAGTGAAAGGAAGGGAAGGACCAAGGGATGAAGGAAGGGTTGGAAGAAAAAAAAAAGAAGGGAAGGAAGAGAAAGGAAAGAGGGAGGGGAAGATGTCTGATGGAAAGCAAGGGAAGAAGGCACAAAAGGATGAAAAGAGAAAGGGAGGAGGTGTTTGAGGGAAACGGAGGAAGGAAGGAAAGAAAAAGAAAGGAAGGTAGGTATAGAAGAAGAAAGAAAAAGGAGGGAAGGAAGGATGAGAAAGGGGAGGAAAGTGAAAGGAAGTGAAGGACCAAGGGATGAAGGAAGGGTTGGAAGGAAGAAAAAGAACAGAAGAAAGAGAAAGGAATGGGAGGGAGGAAAGATGTATGATGGAAAGCAAGGGAAGAAGGCACGAAAAGAAGAAAAGAGAGAGCAAGGAGGTGTTTGAGAGAAATGGAGGAAGGAAAGAAAGAGAAAATGAAGGGAAGGGAAAGGAAGGGAAGGAACCTTTCGACTGACAAGATTTATTGCAGGTGGTGGTTTAATCTGCTGTGCAAAAGCCAGGCCCCCTTCATTGGAAAACTATTGCAAAATGGGTTGCAGGAGGTCTCTCCTGCAAAAAAATAAAGTTGTGTTTCATAAATTACTAGCTGCTCCCTGCCACGCATTGCTGTGGCTCAGTCTGTGTATATGTGTTTTGTGTGTATATATGTGTGCATATGGAGCCCCCGGTGGCCCGGTGGGTTAAATCGCTGAGCTGCTGAGCTTGTTGACCGAACGGTCGCAGGTTTGAATCCGGGGAGTGGGGTGAGCTTCTGCTGTCAGCCCCAGCTTCTGCCAACCTAGCAGTTTGAAAACATGCAAATGTAAGTCAATCAATAGGTACCACTCCGGTGGGAAGATAACGGCACTCCATGAAGTCATGCCAGCCACATGACCCTGGAGGTGTCTACGGACAATGCCGGCTCTTCGGCTTAGAAATGGAGATGAGCACCACACCCCGGAGTCGAATACAACTGGAATGTCAGGGGAAAACCTTTACCTTTACCCTATGTGCGTATATATGTGTGTATATGTGTATATATGTGTGCCTGCATATATATATGTGGTTTTGCACATGCGTTTTAATGTGATTTTGGGGGGTTTTGGCTTTTAAAGTCTCTTCTACTGTGTTTTTCAGTATTTTTATGAGTGATAGTCACTCACTGGCCTAATAGGTGTCTTGTGTTCAAATTTGGTGTCAATTCGCCCACTGGTTTTTGAGTTCTGTTAATCCCACAAACGAACATTACATTTATATATATATAGATTCCCAGGTTTTAATGATGGAACTGATTAGGAAATCACATTGATCACCCAGGAACGAAAATAATGTTATATAGTATTGTGGTGGTTGTACCCACATTGGAAGAGGGATGATGTAATAAAGAAAGGGTATCTATTCATTTAATATATTCATAATATATATTATTATTATAGGATGTCCCTCCCACAGAAACAAAGTTTTTACAGTTTAATATACTTAGAATCCTAGAATCCTAGAGTTGGAAGAGACCTCCTGGGCCATCCAGTCCAACTCCATTCTGCCAAGAAGCAGGAATATTGCATTCAAAGCACCCTGACAGATGGCCATCCAGCCTCTGTTTAAAAGCCTCCAAAGAAGGAGCCTCCACCACACTTTCCTCATGTATTTCTGGTAGAACTAATTAGGAAATGACCAAAATTGTGTTACATAGTGTAATGCTGGATTCTGAGTTCTCTGGCTAGAGCCGGAGAGGTTTCCTTCCCAGACGGATCAGGATCCAGCTCCAGTTATGAGTACCCAATTCTGCATTTATTTTGGCGAAGACGCAGGGAAAGGGAGAGTGGAGCGCGGCGCGTCCACTTTCCAACGTCTCCTTTCCCTTCTGTTTTCTGTCCCGTCTGGGCATTTGAGACAGGGACACCTGTGTTTTGCTTTGGACCAAGCTGTGTGTGTGTTTCCAAGCCTTGAGCTCCCTTCTTGAACGCTTTTTGGGAGCCTTTGGAGGGTCCCTCGAAGGAAAGGACGAGTCCCGGCGCTTCTGGAGAAGAAGGGTCATGAGCAGCTCTTTGCATTGGCGCCGATGGGCTTGGACACATTTTAGCCGTCCTGCTAAAAACGTCGCGCAGCCTCGCTTCTTAGAATAGCCTTCTCTTGTCTCCTGAACGGATGGCCAAGGATAGAGTGTCGGGAGCGCACATACTTCACCTTCTATATCTGTTCCTGGCGAGGTCAGGTTGACGCCGGTCCATTTTCAAACCACTTTGCATTTTGTGAGTGTTGCTGTTTCAAGCCTTGCTTTATATTGTTGTGGTCCTTTGTTTTTGTCTGAGTCCCTCCAGGTGTTTTGGAATTCCACTCCCACAATTCCTAACAGCCGGTAGGAAAGAGGGAAGGGACAGGGGAAAAAAGAAAAAGGAGAGAAGGAAGGAAAAGTACCTGGACCACATCTGACCAGTGAGAAATACTAGAGAGGGTTGGGAGGAATTCACCTTGATTTATAGAAGTTGTAGGATGTATAGTTCACCTGCAATCTAAGGCAGAGAAAGGAAAGGAAAAAGGTATGAGGGAATGATGGAAAGAAAGAAAAAGAAGGGATGAAGGACAGGAGGAAAAGAAGAAGAAGAAGAAGAAGAAGAGATAGAATTGAATAAATGAAAAGGGGAGGTAGTGTTGTAGTTGTAGTTGTGTTGTAGTTCAGCCACTTGATAATGATGATGAGGGGTTTGTGCGTACAGGGCCTGATGCTTCTGGAGGTGCCCAGACAGAGGGGATGTTGAAACAGGATGGTGATTCCCTGGCAGAACAGGATGGTGATTCCCTGAGGTGGGAATTAGATGTTGATCCTCTGTAGAAAAATGAAACTGCTTTAGAAGCTGACAGGCAGAGAAGGAAGGACGACATGAGTTCACCCGATACAGGGTGTTGGACAAAGGATCAAGGCTGCTCCTGCGGGGGAAGAATTCCAGGTGCAAAGCGAGCAATGAGAAAGAGAGGCACAGGCAGGCTTCTCAAGACCAAAGGAATGCCTTCATGCATTGCTGTCCTTAAATAGGGAAAAAAGCTCTTAGGTTGTCGCGAAGGGAGTGAGACGCTCCTGCCTTGTTCCTGGTCCTGTTTGTTGATTCAAGCCAAGTTTCCTAGCCAATTTTCCTAGCCAAGTTTCCTAGTCAAATTTTGCTTCTAGTTTTGGGGATTTTACCAATGGATTCAAGCTCATGTTTTGTTCCTTCTTTCGTGGATGAATCAAGCTCATGTTTTGTTCCATGTATCTTGGATTAATGTTCATGGAGATTTATCTCTAGCTTTTTGGGACTTCTTCTTTCTTCACATATTTCGATTTTTACTCTTTTACTGTGTGTTCTTTCAATGAACTGTTTATTACTACGTTTGGCTTCCTGGTGAGTGCTTGAGCAAGGTGAACTCCTGTTGAGGTGCAACAGGTAGCGAGAAATAGGGAAGGAAGGAAGGAAAGAAAGAAAAAGAAGGGATGAAGGACAGGAGGAAAATAGAAGAGATAGAACGGAATGCATTAAAAGGGGAGGTAGTGTTGTAGTTGTGTTGTAGTTCAGCCACTTGATAATGATGATGAGGGTTTTGGGCGTGCAGAGCCTGCAGGGCCTGATGCTTCTGGAGGTGCCCAGACAGAAGGGATGTTGGAACAGGATGGTGATTCCCTGGCAGAATGGAGGGTGGTGGGAATTAGATGTTGATCCTCTGTAGAAAAATGAAACTGCTTTAGAAGCTGACAGGCAGAGAAGGGAGGAGGACATGAGTTCACCCGATGCATGGGTGTTGGACAAAGAATCAAGGCTGCTCCTGTGGGGGAAGAATTCCATATGCAAACCGAAAGAGAGGCAGAGGCAGGCTTCTCAAGGACAAAGGAATGCCTTCATTCATTGCTGTCCTTAATTAGGGAAAGGAAGCCCTTAGGTTGTCGCGAAGGGAGTGAGACGCTCCTGCCTTGTTCCTAGTCCTGTTTGTTGATTCAAGTTTCCTAGTCAAGTTTTGCTTCTAGTTTTGGGGATTTTACCAATGGATTCAAGCTCATGTTTTGTTCCTTGTTTCATGGATTAATCAAGCTGATGTTTTGTTCCTTGTTTCTTGGATTAATGTTCATGGAGATTTATCTCTGGCTTTTTGGGATTTCTTCTTTCTTCACATATTTAGATTTTTACTCTTTTACTGTGTGTTCTTTCAATAAACTGTTTATTACTACGTTTGGCTTCTTGGTGAGTGCTTGAGCAAGGTGAACTCCTATTGAGGTGCAACAGGTAGCGAGAAATAGGGAAGGAAGGAAGGAAGGGAGGGAGGGAGGGAGGAAGGAAGGAAAGAAAGAAAAAGAAGGGATAAAGTACAGGAGTAAGAAAAAGAAGAAGAAGAGATAGAATGGAATGGATGAAAAGGGGAGGTAGTGTTGTACTTGTAGTAGTCAAGTTTTGCTACTAGTCTTGGGGATTTTACGAATGGATTCAAGCTCATGTTCCTTGTTTCGTGGATTAATCAAGCTCATGTTTTGTTCCTTGTTTCTTGGATTAATATTCATGCTTTAACCTTTGCATTGGAGATTTATCTCTGGCTTTTTAGGACTTCTTTCTTCACATATTTAGATTTTTACTCTTTTAGTGTGTGTTCTTTCAATAAACTGTTTATTACTATGTTTGGCTTCCTGGTGAGTGCTTGAACAAGGTGAACTCCTGTTGAGGTGCAACAGGTAGCGAGAAATAGGGGAGGAAGGAAGGGAGGGACAGGAAAGGAGGAAAAGAATGGGGGGATGAAGGAAAGAACAGAAGGGAAGGGTTGTTGGGTCTATCTATTCTTCAAGGTCTGATACGTTTGCAACAGATTGCTTCCAAATACATCTTGCTAGAGAAGTAGATGTGACTCTTACCATAAAATAATTTGTCATTTTAATCCTTTCCTCATTGTTTTTCCTCCCTGCCAGGATATGACCGAGAGGCCTTACAACGACCGTTACGCATCCTCCTGATTCTTCAGTCGAGAAAAGCTCACTCCGAAAGCACCGCTTCTTCATGTTAGAAAAGGAAACTACCTCAACGCAGAGAAGAAGAAGAAACGGAACGCCTTGCAATACGACAAAAACACTCCTGAACGAGATGAGTTGTAGCCAAGGCTCCAGGACAGGGACCTGGCTTTGTTTTTCTCCCTCTCAGTATTAAGATGGGAAGGATTGGATTTGACTGACGGGTTCTGTCAAACCAGACGCGAGGGAAGGCCTGCCTTGGGCTGAGGATCACTGTTGAGCAGTGGTCCCCAAAGAGGTTCGTTGTAGGACTTTATTGGCGTGAAATGGATGCGAACATCCGGTGCGAGCCGCGTGTGGACAGGCAAAGACGGGCAGCTTTGAAACCATGCCTTTGTTCCGCTCCGTAGAAGCGCCAGGCCCAAAACCAACAGTATTCTTTGCTTGAAGCACCCACGGCTTGCTTTTTTACGGTTCTCATTTGCAGCGGGACTGCGTCTGGACGCTGAACACGGCCGGCAGTTGAGTCTCCCAATCGCCCACTTTGTCGTCGTTTTGCGCCTTGTCGATTCTCCCAATTGTCCTCCTCGTTGTTACTTTGCGTCCTGCGTTCAAGTTGATTCTCCCAATTGCCCTCCTCGTCGTCACTTTGCGTCTTGCGTTCAAGTCGATTCTCCCAATTGCTCGCCTTGTTGTCGTTTTGCATCCAAGATGCTCTCCTCGACCATGACGGGCTTGCTCCTCTCCTCCGGCTCGCAGAGGTAGATTCCCGAGAGAAGAGTCCGGTCGCTCTGAGAAGGCCTTGGCCCCGCCCTTCCTTATGTATTGCTGCAGTGCACAAGAGAGCAAGATGGACTACAAGCGGCGCTTTTTGCTTGGCGGGTCCAAGCAGAAAGTGCAGCAACACCAGCAGTTCCACGTGTCGGAGCTGGGCAAGGCCTTGGGCGCGGCGTCGGCATCGGCCCCCGTCCCGGCCTCTCCGGCCTCCCCGCTGCTCTCCTCCTCTTCCTCTTCCTCCTCGTCCTCCTCCTCTTCGGCGGCATCGGCTGCGGGCGGCTGCAGCCAGGCCACCCCCGTGGCCGACATCCAGCAGGGCATCTCCAAGTACCTGGACGCCCTCAACGTCTTCTGCCGCGCCAGCGCCTTCCTCACCGACCTCTTCAGCAGCGTGTTCCGGAACTCGCACTACGCCAAGGCAGCTATGCAACTCAAAGACGTGCAGGAACACGTCATGGAGGCGGCCAGCCGGCTCACCGCAGCAATAAAGCCCGAGATCGCCAAAATGCTCATGGAGCTGAGCGCCGGGGCAGCCAACTTCAAGGATCAGAAGGAGTTCAGCCTACAGGATATTGAGGTGAGCAAGTGAGGCGAATCTTATCTATCTGTCTGTCTGTCTATCTATCTATCTATCTATCTATCTATCTATCTATCTATCTAAATGTTCTGTGCGTAATGAGTACCTTAAAAACAAAAGAACCAATGAACAAAATCACACCAAATTTGGCAACAAAATGTCTCACAACACAAGGAGTGACCATCACTCAAAAAAGTATGATTTTGTCATTTGGGAGTTGTAGTTGTTGGGATTTATAGTTCACCTATAATCAAAGAGCATTCTGAACTCCACCAACAATGGAATTGAACCAGACTTGGCACACAGGACTCCCCTGACCAACAGAAAACACTAAAAGGATTTGGTGGGCATTGACCTTGAGTTTGGGTGTTGTAGTTCACCTACATCTAGAGCAGGGGTCCTCAAACTAAGGCCCGGGGCCGGATACGGCCCTCCAAGGTCATTTACCCAGCCCTCGCTCAGGGTCAAACTCAGTCTGGAACGACTTGAAAGCACACAACAACAACAACCACAACAACCCTATCTCATCAGCCAAAAGCAGGCCCACACTTCCCATTGAAATACTAAGAAGTTTATATTTGTCAGAATTGTTCTTCATTTTAATTACTGTCTTGTTTTAAGTGTTTATTGCACTACACACGAGATCTGTGGAGTGTGCATAGGAATCAATTCATGGGGTTTTTTTCACCTTATAATCCAGCCCTCCAACAGTTTGAGGGACTGTGATCCGGCCCTCTATTTAAAAAGTTTGAGGACCCCTGATCTAGAGAGCACTGTGGACTCAAACAATGATGGATCTGGATCAAACTTGGCATGAATACTCAATATTCCCAAATATAAGCACAGATGGAGTTTGCGGGAAATAGACCTTGACATTTGCGAGTTGTAGTTACTAGGATTTATAGTTCGCCTACAATCAGAGCATTCTGAACCCCACCAATGACAGAATTGGGGCAAACTTCCACACAGAACCCCCATGACCAACAGAAAATACTCAAGGCCATCCAGTCCAACTCCCTTCACGAGGGCAAGAAAACGTAATCAAAGCCCTCCTGACAAAGAGCCATCCAGCCATAGAGATAGAGAGATATATATGACTCTCACACACAGATATAGTATCATAGATGTGAAAGGGACCCCTAAACAAGGACAATTCTTTGTTGCATGCTCCAGAGCAGGCCAAACACAAGCATAAAGAAATTACATATATTAGAAACCAATACTTTCTCATTACTTTATTTTCCACATCACCAGACTGGGCCACAGCAACGCGTGGCAGGGGACAGCTAGTACAATATATTATATTATTAGCATAGCACAATATCAGTATTATATATTACTATATTGTACCCAAACCCCTCATCATCATTATCAAGTGGCTGAACTACAACACAACTACAAAACTACCTCCCCTTTTCATCCATTCCATTCTATCTCTTCTTCTTCTATTTTTCCACCTGTCCTTCATCCCTTCTTTTTCTTTCTTTCCTTCCTTCCTTCCCTATTTCTCGCTACCTGTTGCACCTCAACAGTTCACCTTGCTCAAGCACTCACCAGGAAGCCAAACGTAGTAATAAACAGTTCATTGAAAGAACACACAGTAAAAGAGTAAAAATCTAAATATGTGAAGAAAGAAGAAGTCCCAAAAAGCCAGAGATAAATCTCCATGAACATTGATTCAAGAAACAAGGAACAAAAGCTTGATTAATCCAAGAAACAAGGAACAAAACATGAGCTTAAATCCATTGGCAAAATCCCCAAGACTAGAAGCAAAACTTGACTAAGAAACTTGGCTTGAATAAACAAACAGGACCAGGAACAAGGCAGGAGCGTCTCACTCCCTTCGCGACAACCTAAGAGCTTCCTTTCCCTAATTAAGGCAATGGATGAAGGCATTCCTTTGGCCTTGTGAAGCCTGCCTGTGCCTCTCTTTCCCATGACTCGGTTTGCACCTGGAATTCTTCTGCAGGAGCAGCCTTGATCCTTTGTCCAACACCCTTGCATCGGGTGAACTCATGTCCTCCTCCCTTCTCTGCCTGTCAGCTTCTAAAGCAGTTTAATTTTTCTACAGAGGATCAACATCTAATTCCCACCCTGCTCCGTTCAGCCAGGGAATCACCATCCTGTTCCAACATCCCCACTGTCTGGGCACCTCCAGAAGCATCAGGCCCTGCACGCCCAAACCCCTCATCATCATCATCATCATCATCTGGCTGAACTACAACACTACCTCCCCTTTTCATCCATTCCATTCTGTCTCTTCTTCTTCTTTTTTCCCCTCCTGTCCTTCATCCCTTCTTTTTCTTTTTCTTTCTTTCCTTCATTCCCTCATACTTTTTTCCTTTCCTTTCTCTGCCTTAGATTGGACTCTCCCTTGCTGAGGTGTTCCTATGAGTATCTCTGTAGATCTTAGAAAAGTATGTTTTGATGGAGGCATTGGAGTGCTGGCTGATGTCCAAACAGGGGGTGGGCTGGAGACACATTCTCCTCTTTTGTATTCCTTCGCTACCTTCAGAATGGCGTTTCCTGCAGGATCGGGGCCCGAGACCTGATAGGATGACTTCTTCTCTAAACGCTTCCCCCAAAGAAAGGGTCTCTCCCTATTTGTGTGTGTAGCCGGGCCTTCGGAGCTTTTCCCTGTCATTTCAGAGAGGCGGCCCTCAATCTGGATAAACAAACGCTGGGCAGGAATCCCAAAGGGAGCGTTCCCGTTTTGTTTGTCCAGAAGGATGTCTGAGAAGGGCACTGCTGCTTCACGTCTCGCTCAAAATACTCCTGAAAGCAAGGAAAGCGCCTTTGGAGAGGCCCGTCCTCCTCCTCCTCCTCGGCATCCCTCCCCTGTTCGGTTTAAACTTTGTACAAATAAGGGAAATGATTTAATCTGAAAGGAATGCCAAGAGCCTGGGACGGCGGTGGCGGCGGCGGAGAGGAAGGTTGCCACCAGCAGCTCTGCTCTGAAAGGGCGTTTTGGTGTTGCTCGTCTCATGCATTCACTTAGGAAGTGGAAGGATCGGACATTTGCAAACCGTTCAGCATTGGAAAGGATCCGCATGGCTGCAAATGTGTATTTTGATTCAGTTGGGTTATGGCAGAATCCTTGTCGTGCTGCTTTTTTGGTAAAGAGGTGCTGGAAATCCCATTTGAGCAGATGATGATAATCATAATCACGTGTTTTTATTTATTCCCTGCCTCTCCTTACAACTCAAGGAGGGACACAACATGGTTCTAGTATGTATTGTCAAAGGCTTTTGCAGCCGGAATCACTGGGACGTTGTGTGGTTTCCAAGCTGTATCACCTATGTGTTCTAGCAGCATTTTCTCCTGATATTTATTATTTATTATTAATTTACTAGCCGTCCCCTGCCACACGTTGCTGTGGCTCAGTCTGCGTATATGTGTTTTGTGTGTTTATATATTTGTGTATATGTGTGTGTGTGTGTGGGTGTATATATGTGTGTGTGTGTGTGTGTGTATATATATATATATATATATATATATATACTAGCCATCCCCTGCCATGCATTGCTGTGACCCACATGGGGGTTCTGTGTGGGAGGTTTGGCTCAATTCTATCGTTGGTGGGGTTCACAATGCTCTTTGATTGTAGGTGAACTATAAATCCCAGTAACTACAACTCCCAAATGTCAAGGTCAATTTCCCCCAAACTCTATCTGTGTTCATATTTGGTCATATTGAGTGCTTGTGCCAAGTTTGCTCCAGACCCATCATTGTTTGAATCCACAGTGCTCTCTGGATGTGGGTGAACTATAATTCCCAAACTCAAGGTCAATATCCACCAAACCCTTCCA